TCCATTCGGTCCATTCGGTCATAATCGGTCAAGTAGGTTTATTACCATATTTGGACGGTCTCCCTCCGAAGCACCTAAGTCTCTCCGCCAAGCGAGCCAGACCGCGTCACGTGACAGCTCCTAAATCGCCGGCTCCTTGCCATTTTTGGGTCTCCCTAGGGCTCCAACCATATAGAGTATGTAAATAGTTTATATGTTTACAACTGTATAGTATACCGTATAAATGTACAGGTGGGCCTATATGGTTTATACTTTGTATGTAAACAGTTTTCTTCTATGTACGAGGTATTATAGCACTGCAGTATGTCCATAAGTGCTCAGAAACGTTTGAGCTGCCTCAAAAGTGATATAAACGCGTGTGGATCACCATATTCGCTCCTGCTTTTGAATTGGACAAATACAGTAATTATTCCCGACTCCGCCAGCATGATCAAGCATGGTATCCTCCCTGGGCACTTGCACCTACACTGAACTGCCATGAATGAACACATCATGCAGTAGACCCGCGCTCGCGGGCGTCGGTCCACCGGACGGTTGCTACCTGGAGGTACGTCGGGCCACCGGATCATCAGGTGATGGGGCGATGTGCTTCGGGTGACCTGACGGGGTTGAAAATGGCCATCCGCAACTAATATAATGTGTGCATACAGCTTACAATGTAGTTATCAAAAGTAATAGAGAAGGCGGATGGTGATCCGAGGTTGGTCATTGTGCGGGCGGACGTCCGGTCACTGAGAGTGAGTACGTCCCTCGGGTCAGCTGGTGGACAGTAGATTGGTTGAGCGAGGGAGGGCATCGGGAAAGCTGATGCTGTCAATGCATCCGCCGTGTCCATGAGGGCGGGGGCATGGAGTCAGCTGGGGTCTGAGCCCTGCTTGGGTGGGATGGGCACCGAGCCGCATGATGGGGCCAAGGGCGGTAACGGGGCGGATGTTGGTGACAACAAGGAGTTGAGGCGAGGGTGTCGGTCAGCTGGTGATGCGGCAGGAAATGAATTGAGCAAGGGCATTGAAGGAGCTGGGGGGAGTAAATGCACTATTGGGGCGGATGAGTGGTCCCACAGAAAGGCAAGGGGCGGGGGCGTCGAGTCACCTGGCACAGAGAGGGAGTGTGTCAGCAGTGGACTGCCGCGGATGGGCATGTATGTAGGCAGATGGCAAGTGGGGGCATCAAGTCAGCTGGTATGGGCCTTGATAACAGTGAGCTGCACCAGGATTTGTGGGGGTGTCAGCGGACAAGGGTTGCTGGCGGACAAGCAATCTTGACAGACAGGCGGTGATGACAGATGAGCATTTCTGGCGGATGAGGATTCCTGGCGGATGACTGTTGCTGACAGATGAGTGTTGTTGGCAGGTGAGCATTATTGGCGGACATGCATTGCTGGGGAATGGAAAGTGATGGCAGATGAGAGTGGTTGGCGGATGAGCATTGCAGGCGGATGAGCATGTCTGGCAGATGAACATTATTAGCGGATGAGCATTTATCTGGCAGATCTGCCATCCGCCCACTTGACCTCAGCATCCGCCTTGTACAGGTGCTTCAAATCTATGCATAACAGCGCGGATGTCCATCCGCACGTTGGTTTCCAAAATATTGAATAGTCTACGTGTCAGCCATGGTTGTATAGACCATTGTATTCTTTTAGCTAGCGGATCTGCCATCCGCCCACTGGGTCTCAGCATCCGTAGCATCCGCCTTGTGCAGATGCTTCAAATTTATGCATAACAGCGCGGATGTCCATCTGCACGTTGGTTTCCTAAATATTGAATAGTCTACGTGTCAGCCATGGTTGTATAGACCATTGTATTCGTTTAACTGGCGGATCCGCCATCTGTCCGCTTGGCCTCAGCATCCGCAGCATCCGCCTTGTGCAGGTGCTTCAAATTTATGTATAACAGCGCGGATGTCCATCCGCATGTTGGTTTCCTAAGTATTGAATAGTCTACGTGTCCGCCATGCTTGTATAGACCATTGTATTTGTTTAACTGGCGGATCCACCATCCGCCCATTTGGCCTCAGCATCCGCAACATCCACAGCATCAGCCTTGTACAGGTGCTTCAAATCTATGCATAACAGCGCGGATGTCCATCCGCATGTTGGTTTCCTAAGTATTGAATAGTCTACGTGTCCGCCATG